GTCGTCCCGGGGTGAACGCACGCAACGCGGTCACCGCCCGGGCGCGCGGGAAAATCGGAAAACTATTGTTGCATTAGTTGCCCACAATGCGTGCATGTTACACTTCCGTGTCGCAACTAAGGATGCAAGTCGCGAATTACCGTTGTACATCCTATAAACTCATGGGAGCCTGGTACACGCTCCTTGGGAAACTCAATCTTTGTAGGTAGGTATTTGAATTGACGTGTATGAAACTGGATTGTAATAAATAATGTAGCCGGCAAGCAGAAACTTACATTTAAGAACATTATACTGGAGTTTTACCCTCAGTAAATGGACAGACACGATGTTTAGTACTTAAATATCTCTCGATAACACAGCTGTTATTAAAAAAAAAGCCTTTATGAATTACGGATTTCGATACCCCTTTAAAATAAGCAATAAATACACATAGTTGGATAGTAATGGTTAAAAGCAAGTACTCAGTAATTTACACATCTTGTATTAGTTTTTGGAGTGAATTCCTTGTCCACTCTGAGAGTCCCAAATTCTCTAGCGTTGCCGATCTTTTTGAGTACCCTCCGCTCGGAATTGTGGAGGATTGTCTCCGATTTGCATTCCATACTAATATTATAAATGCGAAAGTATGTCTGTCTGTTTGACTGTTACCTCTTCACGCTTAAACCGCTGACCTGATTTAGACGAAATTTGGTATAGATAGTTTGAATCAATCCGGAAAGGACAAAGAATAGGTTTTATCCCAAAAATCATCCTTCAAGAGGGTAAAAAGATTGGTAGAAGTTTTTTTGTGGGAATCGATAAGCGCTGAACCGGTTCAGATGAAATTTATTATAGAGATAGTTTGAATCTTGATAAAGGACATAGGCATACTTTTTACCTCGATAACCGACAAATACGCGGTCCGTGTGGTGACGGATTAAGAATACAGAGTGTCACCACCCCTATTCATCCCGTGGGTGTCGTAAGAGCCGACTAAGGGAGCAAACTAGGCCAAAACCTCCTTTCTCAGGAGAGGCTTATGTCCAGCAGCTGTTGATGATGATGATGATGATGACGCGGGCAGAGCCACGGGTAAAACCTAGTTATTTATAATAGCAGTTTTCAATTAGGACGTAGTAACACTAAGGTCACACTTAGCATGGATCTCCCACGGTTGAAATTATTGAATTTGAGCTCTCAAGCAATTATCGTTTTCCATAGTATAGTAAAGTTAAGCCGAGGAATACATATATTTACATACGTGTCCCGTGTCTTACTTGAGTGATTACTGTGCGTCCATAACTTGTTTATTCTCTGTTATAATGTACTGTTATATATTAATATATTCCCATTACACACATACAGTCACACCCACATCCACGAAGGGTTAGCAGATGCGTATAAACACTTACATAATTGTAGTTCCACAGACGTAATAAGGAACAAGGTGTTTGCCGTCAAAACGAAAATAAAACTAAATATTTTACTGGACGGATGGCGTAGTGGTTTGGGCGGTCGCCACGCCGCTTCCTACTGCGCTGTGTCTTATGGGTTCGATTCCCACATGGGACACCACTTTGTGCGATCCACAAATTGTTGCTCTGAGTCTGGGTGTTCCTTTCTTTTGTGTCCGTTTCATGTAGGTTTGTAAAAGCCCCCCGCGACACCTGATATACACGGTGATTTTGAAAGCGTTTTGGAAAAGAAAATTTTGAGTTATTTATCAGTAACAGAAGCTATATATAACGTTAATTTAATAAAATATATATATTTTTTTATCATCAAAGTCGATATTCACATCGATTACAGAGAAAAGAAGAAACCAGTAGTAGGGCTTTTCAATCGCAAGTAGGTAAATACTACGAATAGAAATACTATGCGTTTTAATATCGAGTCACATAAAGGTCGCGCGCTCACGCGCAAGGTCAAGGACGTTTAAATTATTATTCGCCGGAGTGTAGTGCGTGCATACCTGGACAATGAGTTAAGTGATCGGTTTATAGGTCGAGGAGGGCCAGCAGTTGCTTCGATACAGAGAAGTGTAAATAGTGTAAATAGGTATGTAAGTTAATTATTCTGTAGAAAGCTCCGATTTTTTAAATACGCTTGAAATATTTATACCTACAGTCCATTGATAAATTGATTTGTTAATAATCGAAAAGAAGTTTAAATAAAATAGGTATTTCCGACGATCCTAAGCCCGTGTAAAGTATGAAGGACAAATTGGAGTCTATCTACGTAAGTACTCGCTAGCTCGCGCCTATAGGTATACTTTTATCAGCTGCTGTTAGCGTCAGCGGTGCGCAGCGGCCGCCGAACCCCCCGACGTGTTTCATTCATATAAGATAATGAATGAATGATCAGTCCACTACTACTTTCCAAGTCGATCGAGTAAAAATTAATATTAAAACTGAAATTTTTTTTAAGACAACATTACAATTGATTTAATCATTTTTATTGGTACTATAGATGATTCCAAATTAAAATGTTTCGTTTCCAAAACGCTTTCAAAATCACCGTGTATATTGCTAATGCAGGAGTTGTCTTTTTAAAGAAGAAAACAAAAGTGTGAAAATGTGTCTGTCATCCGGCTGTGACCTCTTAACGTATTAAGTTGGTTTGTGTACGCTTCAAAAACTCAAAAAGTTCTGCACCGTTCGAGATCAAATTTTGACACGTTAAACAAACCGCCTTAGTTTGTTTTTATTTATTTTTCGCGTTATTTTTAGTTCTCATTTCTCATCAATACAGCCACAATATGGCACATCGAAGCTTGGTAGGGTACAGCTAATTTATTTATAAAAATCCATAGGTTTCACAAAAAAAGAAACTATTAAAAAATATAAGTAACAGATTAATGCATTGCCATTTCAATGCGGTTCTCATGAACGTATAAAAAAAAACCGAACGAGTTCCCCAAAACAAGGCATTGTCAAGACTTATTTAATTTTTTTAGGTGACAATACTGGGTATAAGAAACGCTTGGGAATGTTTCTGTAGAAACTTGATATTGTTTTGACACATACATTTTGGCGGATAAAAATAATTATGTTGTGGATTTAAAAAAATGTTTTTCCTTTAAGATATTGATGAATGAAATCGTGTACACGGTACAAGAAGCAGAGATGAAACTAGTTCCGTTGGTTAGAGAAATATTACGGTAAAGAATCTATTATCTGATAAGTTATACTACAAAACTAAAAATAGTTAATAATACTTAGTTATAATTATTTAATACATTTCATGTGGTGGTTCATACAAACTACGCAGGTCAACAGCACTGCAGCGAGAAGGAAAACTTGAAACAAACCCTATACCAACCCGTCTGGCCAGCGTGGTATAGTAGGCCAAAACCTCCTTTCTAAGGAGAGGCCTATGTCCAGCAGTGGACTAGTAAAGACTATTGATGTGAATACATTTCACACGCGGCCGTCTGATCACAAACCAGGAAAAGCCTAACCAGACTGCTGATAAACATACTTATATGTTTCTAAATACATACATAGTATGGATAAATTACAGCCAGACACAGAACAAATGATCCTACTCATTTGTCCTGGGTGGGAATCAAACTCACGTCCTCTGGCTTACCAGTTAGGGTCTCTTACCACTATACCGGCCCGTTTGATTTCTAATTTACTAGGCAAAGCCGTTAAACATTAATATATGACTAAACCAGCTTTGCCGCGTATATGCTATTGATCACGGCAAAACGGTAGCCCGTCCTTCCTCAAAAATCAAACTATGTCCATACCAAATTTCATCTAAATCGGTTTAGCGGTTATTGATTTCCCATAGAAAGTTTCACCCCGTAAAGGATGATTTTTGGGGTAAAAACTAATTTATGTCTTTATCGGGGACTCGGACTATCTCTATACTAAAGTTCATCTAAATCGGCTCAGCGGTTTAAGTGTGAACAGGTAACAAACAGACAGACAGACACACTTTCGCATTTATAATGTTAAGTATGAATACATGCATACTGCAGATAAATTACACTAAAATACGAAACAAATGATCGCGCTTATCAAAAGTTATTTGTCTCTTGGGAAAAATTAACCTTTTCATAATTACTGATTAAAAACAAGGGATAACACGAAGACCAGGATAAAAAAAGTGACTCCAATCATTTGTGTAAAACTAAGATTATTTCGGAATAATTACTATACCTTATTAAGTTCTAAGAGATGCATTCCGATGTGTATTCTCAATTTAGCACTTGAGATCAATGCAACAGGTCGCTTAGACCTGTCCTAAAGAACCTTGGTTGAGTCTAAAACTAGACAGCATTCACCAAAACGTACACATATATATTTAATAACTAGCTTATGCCCGCGACATCAGACATCGTAGAAGATACAAACTAAAGAGTATTTACTGTTAGGTTGAAAACGCTACTACCAAAAAGATTCGTATAAATTTCCAACCCCTATTTTGCACCCTTAGGGGTGGAATTTTTAAAAATCTTTTCTTAATGCACACCCACGGCACCTAAAGAACATTTGTGCAAAATTTCATATTTCTAGACCCAAGGGTTTCAGCTTTGCGTTTATCGATCAGTCAGTTATCCAGTCTGCCCGTTTCTTTTTTTATTTGCAGTAATATTGTAACTGGTGTATCCCTACAACTTAAAATTAAGAAGTAAAAATTGCGTTTTTAATCAATCACCTTTTAATGTATACATATATATTAAATATATTACAAGCATAAAAGATTTTTTAACGAGTGCCTATAATGCACATTATTTAACAAAATCAAGTAAAAATATTAGAAACTTTGATATATAAAAAAAACTATATACTAAGATCATATCATATCATAACATACGAGTAGTATAAACCTACAACCAATACGACTGCCGATAACTCCATCTTTTTTACTTATGTACGTATGAAAATATGGAAGGTAGAACGAGATGGAAAGAACAGCTAAGAAACATGGCAAATCTCGAAGAAAAAACGCACTAAGAAATCGCATTTCATTTCTTAAAAGTACTAGGAAAGCAGATCGTTCAAAGAGATTCATCGCTCAACTACATTGACTAAAACAACATGTTCGCCTCTAATCATCATCTGTGGTACGTGCCTCGAACATTCCCATACACCGTTACCAATAGGTGTTTCCAACACCTCGGGCACTTTACATATCTTCGCAGCTGAACCTTTAGGCACCGGTGTACCTGTAAATAATAAGTTGTCAAAGAAAAAGAATTGTCTAACGGAAAACCTCATTAACATTTTGTGTGACCCGGTAATTGAACCCGAGCCCCCACGTTCGCACGCAAACATTAGCGTAAACAAATGCCACGTGGTTAACGAGGCGTAAATATTAATGTGAAACTTCTGACGCGTACTACGTCACAGATACGATAATAGCCACTAGGTACTGTTTATAATGGGTATGTTTAACTTAAAATCAACAGGTTATTACTCGTATATCCCATGATATATTCAATGTCTTCAGTGACAGAAGTGACAGCTTCGACACATACTGGGTCGGCTCGACCAGTGCAATACCGCGGCTGCACTGAATACCGGCCTTTTTGTTGCGCTTCGGGATAATTGGACCCAATGCGACAGCAATGCACTTGCAATTGTAATAGCAATTTAGTACATTGGAAAAATCTAATAATTAATTTCATATCTTTGGGCATTGGGCAATGGAGCAAAGTGAAGTCGAAGCCAATTCTTCGAAAAAAGTAATCTTCTCCGATGAATCGCATTTCCATCTGAATGAGTACGTGAATACACAAAATTGACGAATTTGGGTTCACAAAATCCTCATGCAATCCATGAGAAACAAATGCTCCGACCATGAGCAACTGTCTGGTGCGGATTTTGGTCAGGCGGCGTGATTGGGCCTTACATTTTTGAAGATGAGGCCGAAATTGCAACAATTCCTGATCTCAAATCAGAAATGCAACGCGTCATCGGTGAGATACAGCCACATCTCTCTTTAAAAGACATGGAAAATTTCATGAAAAGACTAATGGCCTGTCATCAGAGCCGAGGGAGCCATTTGCCGGATATTTTATTCCATACTAAATCGGAACATGCCTTCTTTACCAATAAAAATATCAAAACTCTTTCATAAAATACGTTTTTTACAAGCTTTGCAGGTGAACGTACGGCTCCCACGTTAGAGGTTTTGTTCGATTCCCACTCACAACAAATGTTGACACTCGTCTATAGGTTTTAATATCAGAGTATTATAATAACAAGACTGCTGATAAACATACTTATATATCTGAATTCATACATTTAATAGATAAATCTAAAACAGAACAAATGGATGGATGGGAACCCATTACCTCTGAATCAGCAATAGTTATTGCTATCAAAATCATGTACCTATATATTGAAACAGTATTTTAGTTCTAACTGTATAGGCTGCGTCTAGTTTCCGTATAAATAGAGATGGAGAATCACAGTCGTAAAGACACGTACCCAGTGCTGGAGGTATTTTCCTTTTCTTAACACTTTTCTTCTTCCAAACTTCTATGATGTCACTGAGCGCCAGGTTCCACTGCTTATCGAAGGCAATAACAGTGGCGTGTAGGACTCCTCTAATACCAGTGTCCTTGCGAGTTATTATCTGCGAACAAAATAAATATCTAAAATATATCATATAAGTAGCAAATAAAGGCCTTTAGACTGTATATAAAAGCGTAAATAACAGATGTATCTGTACTAAGGACTAGACTCGGTTTTGTTTGATACAAATTGTTTTATTTTTTCGTAGGGATACTACTTTTTTTGTGATATATATTTTCTTTAACTTTCACAACGTGTATGTAAAATTCCAAGATGGTCGATTGAGCAAGGTAAGACATAAAAGAGTTAAAAAAAAAAACAACAAAAAAGCTCACTTTTACGCTTATAACATTGGTATATAAATAATATTACAGTTAAATTAACGTGACATAAAGTCGTGTATTTTCGACATTTCGGACAAGACCTAACTTTTATTAAGATGAAGCAACCGACCACCGAAATAATGTTTTATCCATCAAATTATATTAAGTTCCTGTAGATGAAGAATAATTTTGGCCACGGTCAAACGGTCATGTAGCTTTCACATCAACAGCCTTTACTAGTCCACTGCTGGACATAGACCTCTCCTTAGGAAGGAGGTTTTGGCCCACTATACCACGCTGGCCAGACGGGTTGGTATAGGGTTTGTTTCAAGTTTTCCTTCTCTCTGCAGTGCTGTTGTCCGTCGTAGTCTTACGACACCCACGGGGTGAATAGGGGTGGTGACGCTCTGTATTCTTAATCCGTCACAACACGGACATGTAGCTTTAAATCACATCAATAATATAAATGTTTGTTTGTTACAGAACTACAGTGTATTGCATGACGCGGACGGAGTCCCAATCTGATGTGTTTACATCTGTCTTCCAAAGCAACAGTACATCACCTCCCTCAATGGTAAGTCTACGCTCTCTCTTCTCTATTTCTAAACCCCTGCCATTTATAGCTTTCACCTTCCAACCTGGACGGTTCCAATTATAAGTACCGATTTTCTCCAAGCCTATTTACATGATATATATTATAAACTTCGGGAAGCATATCTTGTAATGGTATTTATTTTCGTTGAACAGTTTATAAGATTATATAAGATGTGTCCGGAGGTCTTGGGTTCAATTTCCACGCAGGATCTACATTGTGTGATATGCACTATCATTGGTTCTGTGTTGGGATGTTATTTATCTATATGTATATATTCTCAGATCAAATAAAAAAGTCAAGATGGAACTTTTCAAAGAACGAAGTGAGGCCGGTTTTGGCATTTTTACTGGTAAATATTGTTGACATTTTTGATGACCTTTTGACTGACAAGGCATAGTTTTGTTGTACGAGTACGTGTGTGCGTGAAATTGTGTATGTACACGCTAAGGCGTATTTTTAATTTGGCCTTACTTTTTTGTTCACAGAGACTTAACTTTATCTTAACTTTTCAATTGGATCTGAGTATATATTTAGAAATTTATAAGAACGTTGATATAGAAATATATGTGCCCGGTTAAGGCCTATAAATACCTCCAGTAAGTGGGATTTAAATTATACTGGGTAAAATGTGGGCAATTTATACACCTTTATATACCCCCTAGCATACACTTTAGTGTATATACATATACTGTAAATGTGAATTTTTCAATAACTTTGTCCGGGATATATAGTGATATTCTAGACTAAAACCTATCTATGTGCCAAATCTCGTCTAGATCCAGAAAGCCATTTTGGCGTGTTTTAGTTACAAACATACTTGAATAATTAGTATCAACGTTTTTATTACTTTTGATAAAGAGTATTCACTGTGTGTTTGAAAACGCTATTACCAAACAAATATCGAAACTTCATACAAATTTCCAACCCCGATAGTGCTTGGTGTGCGCACCATCATCATCATCATCACATCAACAGCCTTTAATAGTCCACTGCTGGACATAGGCCTCTCTTTAGAAAGAAGGTTTTGGCCTACTATACCACGCTGGCCAGGCGGGTTGGTATAGGGTTTGTGTCAAGTTATCCGTCTTTCTGCAGTACTGGTGTCCTGCGTTGTTCTGCGCCCTTAGTCGGTTCTTACGACACCCACGGGATGAATTGGGGTAGTGACATTCCGTATTCTTAATCCGTCACTACACGGACAGTGTGCGCACCGGCTTCTAGATTTCATTTCATGCTTCTATACCCAGCGGTTTCAGCTGTGCGGTGATCGATCAGCCACTGAATTGGTTTGTCAGTTCTTATGTTATAGGTATAGATTATGTATGCAGTTCGGTACATATTAGAAGCCTACACATATTCAGGTTTATATTTCATGTAGATATAATCGGTTGATTAGAAATATCATCACACAATGTAATGTCACGACTGCACGGATGGCGGAGTGGTTTAAGCGGTCGCCACGCCGTTTCCTAATACGCCGAGTGTTGTGGGTTCAAACCCCATATGGGACGACACTTTGTGTGATCCACAAATTGTTGTTCTGAGTCTGGGTGTTCTTTGTGTCCGTTTCATGTATGTTTGTAAAGTCCCCCGCGACACAGGATATATATATTCCTAATGCGGGAGTTGTGTTTTAAAATATATATATATATATATATATATATATATATATATATATACATATATATATATATAAAGTGACAGATTACAAAGGTATACGTTAAATTAAGTGATTAGTATTAGGTGTAAGATAATATACATATATTACAACGGAATGCAAACCAGATTTGTAAAACTATTTTAGAATTCATAGGATAGTTTTAGGCTCACATCACGCGACAATTTCAGGGAGCAGTGTTTATGAAAGTCTTTGGATAACACTATTTATCTGCGTTTATGCTCCTCTGGTCCGCTCCTAAAGGTTGTAACGTGATATTATATACTACAAAGCTGGGTCGACATTAGTGATACAACGGCCTCACAGAAACCCGGTGTTAAGAAAACCTTTCCTTGTTTTTCATCGAGTGAGGTTACCGGTGTTGAACCCTCAACCCAATTTCTGGGGAGGGACGAAGCAAATGGCGAAAACGCACTTGACTCTTCACTGCTGCTTAATAGTCCACTGCTGGACATAGGCCTCTCCTTAGAAAGGAGGTTTCAGTTATAATAAATTTATAATATTATCTATAAATATAAAAAAAAATATGCTGGTTTGCGTACGCTACAAAAGCAAAAAGTTCTGCATCGATTGGGCTCAACTTTTGACACGATATAAGTTTAGGTGTATATTTTCATTGATTACATGTCATAATATGTAACCTCTGTGCCTACCTTATAAGATTTCTACACCACCCAAAGGTTAACTGGAAGAGAATGCCTTGGGCATTAAGTCCGCCAATGTACAAATTTTGATATACAATAAATAAATAAAATAATATAACACGTTTCAAAGATGGGTTTTGTCTATTTTCTGCAGCCACAATGTGCCATAGCGCAGCGTGCCAGGGTGCAGCTAGTATATATTAATAAAGATGGTGGCAAGGAGGCTGTGTTTGACGTCACAAGTATCATTTATAGATGAAGGAAGAGGTGACGTCGCTCTTATTACATCTCGCTGGCTGTGTGCCAATCGAAATTTATACGAAGAATGCTTCGAGTGTGTTCCACGCTCTGCGTTTTCTTTATATTTCTAAGTGACATAAAATTCTTCCGGTTTCTTACATTTTAATAAGAATGATTTGATAATTTGGCGATCTGTAGAGTATTTTCTAAAGTCAGATGTCGTGGGTTTAATGCCCGTACAGTTCAAATTAAAAAAGGAATACCGCATTATAATACGCCTGAGTCAAAATAAATCGTAATAAACAGTCTTCTTCATCCCTTAATTTTTAACCATTAGTAGTGGAATGTCTTCTATAATTATAAAAATGACGTAATGGCGCAAATTTCGTATCTTTAACGCTCCAAGAAATCAGTCGAATTTAAAACCTTTTCTGTTCTATTTATGTCGGATAAAATTATGTAGGTAAACAAAACTAAGCGTAACTACAGTGAAATATTCTTGGTTTGGGTCAGACTAGTAGTAATTACTTTTGTACACTTTTGTACCATGATAAATCAACGTATATACTGAGCCTTATAACTTTCTGTAGAATAGAATAGAATAGGCTTTATTGTACATCAGTTTGGTACATCATCAATACAATAGTATATTACGTTAATGACCATGTACAAATGGCGGCCTTATTGCTGAAAGCAATTTTTACAGGCAACCTTTGAATGGACAAATAGACTGTAGATAAATGAATTCATGTGCAGTTTCGGTGTGAAAAAATGTCAAAGAATTATAAATTATTTATACAGCAATACAGTATTTGATATTGATAAAAACTTAATAACAAAGTAGTATTGATTATAATGTAGTCAGTTTTAGTTTATGTATTCGTTTTTGCATATTTTTTTAGCTTTATAACTGATACTATCTTTTGCCCGCGGATGCGCCCGCGTGTTTGTCGGTTGTCGCGGTAAAAGTCCTTTATCAAGAATTGAATTATCTCCATACTAAATTTCATCTAAATGAGTTCAGCGGTTATTCCCCACATAAACTTCCACCGTTTTTCTCTCCTTAAAGGGTGATTTCTTTGATAAAACTATCCTATGTCCTTTCCCGGGACTCCAAACTATCTCTATACCAAATTTCATTTAAATCGATTCAGTGGTTTAAGCGTGAAGAGGTAACAGACAGACAAATATGATACGCTACCGTGCGCCATATTAAAATTGTTACAAAAATATTCGCCAAGTATTAAATATATATTAGAAGATTTCGCAGATCTATATCGTGTAGTGACAGATTAAGAATACGGAATGTCACTACCCCAATTCATCCCGTGGGTGTCGTAAGAGCCGACTAAGGGCGCAAAACAACACAGGACACCAGCACTGCAAAAAGAAGGAAAACTTGATACAATCCCTATACCAACCCGTCTGGCCAGCGTGGTATAGTAGGCCAAAACCTTCTTTCTAAGGAGAGGCCTGTGCCCAGCAGTGGACTAGTATAGGCTGTTGATGTGATATAGTATGGATTGTTTAAAAACTTTGGTTTTGTATATTTCTTCTACGTATAAACATGAATTCCAAATATGATACGCTACCGTGCGCCATATTAAAATTGTTACAAAAATATTCGCCAAGTATTAAATATATATTAGAAGATTATGCAGATCTATATATTAATACGTAAAGCGGAAACCCCTTTTAAAGAAAATTACGAGAACGGATGATTGAGAAATTTGACACAGTTAAAGTTTATATGGAGAAGAAGTGCACAAAGATTTTTATTTTTAAAAAATGAACGAAATACATTAAATTAATTAAAATGAACATGACACATACTACCACTTGAATGACACACAACATACACAGTAATACACTACAGTACAATATACAATACTCTTTTGTTCATGGTTAAATTTTTTATAATAAATATAATATATACCTAATGAAATCTTCGATTATAGAGATATAGTCTTTGACAAAAGAATAGTAAAGTTCAAACTTGAAAATTAAATGTATTACGGTCGAATTTCGACCACTAGTTTTTTTTTTATTATTCTATTACCTAAACAAATTGCAGATGATTCGTTATGATTTTATCGGCACATTACCCAAATCATAATACACAAGGGCATCTATGCACATAGATATAAGTTAGTGAGTTGGATACAACGATCTGGTTGGCGGAAGGCGATGCGACCTCGACGGAGGCCGATTCAATTCGTGAGTACCGCGTCAAGGTCCCACGCCTCTCCAACACGGAGTGGATGGAAACTTTTTGGTTTGTTTCTTATCTTATTGGGTGCTCTATAGTAAGATGAAGGTGGTACGCAGGAAGAATTTCTAAAATAACAAATAATGACGGTAGTTAGTTTCAGGAAAAGTTATCAGAATCACGTTTGAAAAACGGAATTTCTGGAAATAGATTTGAGAATGAACCAAACTTTATCCTTGAATGAACTAAAGAAGGTTATTGATTCTTTATTTTATAGAGTAGTTTTGTAGTTCAGCTGTACAGCGCTGGTGGTACGAATGGTGTTCCAAAGGTATTTAAGCAACGGTCGTGTGTGTATTTGGTAGCTTATGTGTATATAATACTACACCGAACAGCCTTAGGACTCTCCTTAGGAAGGAGATTTTGGCCTACTACTTTATTATTATTTATTTAAGACGGGCTTGTTAGTCAAGCTCTCCTAACTGCTAAGCAAGGCCCATGATGTTACATTATCTGCGCATGGAATAAATTATCTTATAAACGCATTTATAAAGGTATTAGCCATGACATTAAATTGGTGTAGTCCCTTCAAGGCGCGAAGGTTAAATATAAATTTAAAAAGGCGCGAACTTTTATACATTAAATCCATTAAAATATCCATTACTGGTTGCATACAGCCATTCGTTGAGATTGCACCAAATAAGGACAATGTATATAATATTGTCAGTGTGACAGCTAGAAGGTGCCTTCCGGGTTGAAAGTTGCTTTTGGTCCAAGGTCTGTGGCTCAGCGTCAGAGGGCACTGCTCCGCTACATGAGCTTACGTCACCTGCTAACATGGCCTTATGAGCTGGCTTCATTTTTATATTTTACCAGCGGATCTCACAGACGTTTTCCTTTCTTTTTGTGCGTGTGGGAACCCCCTCGGGCTGTCGCCCCGTAAGGGTTTGCTGTGGGGGGTGTGTCGGAATCGGACCGTCTGAAACCACACTAAGAATCTAAACCTTCCAGAGACCCATCTCATCCCTGTAAGATTAAGTTTCACGAATCACAAATCTCCGTACAAACACACACAAAAAAATTCTTTAAACAGATTTCTAGAACTCTAATAGAACGATTTCAAGACTTAAAGACGAAAGACGAAAGACTTAAGTATGAGGAGGAAGATCACTTCTTTCTAAATCTAAGGACGTAAAATTTCCTACTTCCTCCATATAAACTTGGTCTGGAAAGAAAGTAAGTCTATTATGTTTCAATTCTACCCAGGAAAGTTGTCCTTACCAAGACTAATAAAAAGTAATATTTAAGATTTATTAATAACAATACCGTTTCAAGAATAATTTAGTAATTCCTGGCCATCAAAGTCGTAAACTGGTGTAAAGTAAAAATAACAAATGTCTACCAGCTAACATACTCTTACCAGTAGGCGACGATGCGGGCGAATTTAATGACGCATGCATATATAGACCCATCATCATCATCGTCAACAGCCTTTAGTAGTCCACTGTTGGACATAGGCCTCTTCTTAGAAAGGAGGTTTTGGCCTACTACAGGGTTTGTTTCAAGTTTTCCTTCTCTTTGTAGTGCTGTTGTCCTGCGTAGCTTGCTGCCTTAGTCGACTCTTACGACACCTACGGGAAGAATAGGGGTGGTAACACTCTGTATTCTAAATCCGTTACCACACAGATACAATTTTTTATAAGTTGTAAAATTTATTTTCTACGTACATTGTTTGGATGTATTTTGTTAACAAATAAACTGATATAGTTAACAGGTGCACCCATCGCCAGGTCTATACCTGCTACGTATACACCTGCCATTATACTATCCACACATAGGCAATTATACATGTCGATGGCCTTTGTGTTTATAAGTTTATATCCAAAATATTTTCTAATTGATGACTTATACGCATACTAGCTGCCCTCCTTTTTTTTCCGTGCGGAAATCCCCTCGGATACCACCTATCGGTGGCTTACGGACTCGAACCGACTAAAACCGCACGCCGTCTCGGGTATCAGGGAACCAGGTATACCCTAGAAAGGAAGTCCCTGGTGCCCCGACATACCTCGGGCCATCTACAACAAGTAGACGACCCCCCGACTAGCTTCCCCCCTCAGCTTGATGTAACCGTGATCCTTTTTTCGCCCGTCTTATATAGCATGAGATTTTTCGGGGCCTCTTCAACAAAAATCCGTTTGGTAGTTTTTGAGTTTAGCGCGATAAACTTCATTTTATAATATAAAAGGATAACTATAACATTTAATTTTCTGAAATTGGTAAGACTTAAATTTTATCTTCTAAGAGTTGTAAAAAGATACATTTTTAAGGTTAAATAGAGACAAATATTAAAAATGTAGTACTAATATAAACTACCTAAAGTTTGATATAAATGCTAATAAAAATTACTTATGAATTACTCACATATTTATTTATTTAATCTTTGTGTACATTTGTCAATGACATTTTTTTTTCAATTCAAAAATGATATAAATTTATATGGACGATAAAAATTTGGCATTTGAGTTACTGTGAGAGTTTGTCAATAAAATTAAGGTTATTACTATTTCTATGGTTACAAAATTTCAAGTACAGCAACTTATAGAGTCGGATTTTGTTTAACCTAACTTGAACAGAAACGTTAATTGCCACATTTGACATCATAACAGTATGTGACTTAAGAAAATGATATCATAAAAACGTTACACTAAATGACGCTGTTTACAAATATATGGATTCTCAGATCTTTTCAATGTCGTCTGACTAAAGTCAGTAACTTTTATTACAAAATAAATCAAGATTTTTCCATCGCAGAAACCATAGTTCCAAAATGCAAATTTTTTTGCAAGATTAATGTAACACGCGAACGTGCTAGGAAGAACATTGAATGGAATTGAACAATCATAGTTGACAAATGCAATTTCAAGACACCTTGCACCTGACATTGGCAATGGTGGCCTGACCTTAAATCAATTGTGCAATATAAACACTAGAGCGGTAGAAACTAGCTTCTGTTCGCAACTTCGCTTCAGTTTTTGTAGATAACATACATATACACACACGTCTTTATCCCTGAAGGGGTAAACAGGAGCGTTCATCGTTTATTTTGATTTTGCAAATAAATTCATGTATTCTTTGTCCCTATGCTCGTTTTCTACACGGAATACCCTATGTTACCTGAACAGTCTAATAGTTAAGATCCGAAAATTTAGAGAAGCGTAAATTTAGTTACTTTACAAGAATGACAACAAGGAAATTTCTCACAATTACAAAGGAAAGAATTCAGGGCCGATTCAGTCTTTTAATAAACAAAATGAATTGAGGAAAAGAAAAAATCATCATCATCAACAGTCTTTAATAGTCCTCTGCTAGTGACAGGCCACACCTTAGAAAGGAGATAGGAGATTTTGGCCTATTATGCCACGCTGACCAAAGGTTGAAGATTCTCTTAGCAGTGGCTCGGGTCAGCTCCATCGGAATGAATAGGGGCGGTGACACTCAGTATTCCTAATTCGTCACCACACGGATACGAATAAAAGAAATTCATCACTGGATAAATAAAATACTTTTTCAATTTACATAAAGCGACAAGGGTTATGACCTCTACAGCCGAGACATGAGACTTACAAGCCGGTGTAAAATATCAAAGAGTAAATGCAAGCCAGCAATTTACCAATCACATGGAGCAATCGCATCACTTGTAGGTAAAGGGACCTCGCCTACGTTCATTCAGTGGAAAATGTTGATTGCACGTTTTGACGCTGATGCAGATAATATGGAGAATACTCATATAATATTGACTATTCCAGAAATGTTTTTTTTTGCTAACTATAAGGAATGTGTAGCAGTATTGTTGGCAATCGTTGCGGTACCGGTTTTTTCCACGACTTGGATTTATTTGAAGCTGTCCATTAATAGTCAGATAGTGTAATTATGTATTCATTTTATACGCTTTAATTTTTTTTACCTATATATTAAGAATGCAGTGATCCATACGTGTACATCGGCTATTAATATCGTTTTAATTTTGGGTCGGAGTGATGTGTCTCCTGCCTCACGTCAACCGCCTTTGAGAATGGAATCGATTTCAAACGGACACAGAAAGTAAATGGGGGATTAAGAAATCTTCTAGGATAGCTAGAGGGGCAAAATGTGACTAAAACTGCAGTAGGATCCAGCTTCAGTCGGCTGCTCCTGCGGTTTACCTAACCTGAATTTTTAAACTTAAATACCTGGTAAAAAAAGGATTTCTCCTTGTGTTACGGACATTTCCTGTATTTGTAGAATTTCTTTACATTTGAATAATATTTTTAACAATCATGACGAAGAGTAACATTTTGTTGCGTATGAAAACATATGTATATAGTTGTGTATGGAATTTTTATGTATCATCAGACATCCAGCCTTCCGATATCAAATTCAACAAACACAATATTTTGGCATTCTGAAACTGTTATAAACACATTAGATGTTTATTCTTGGTACCGTAAAATCACAAAATTACAGAGGAAGTGAATAAAGTTGATATAATGAAACAAACCACAGCCATGGCCGAAGACATTTGGCTCTGTCTCACCAAGGCGAAGGGCATTGGGCACTGCTACCGGTAAATATTACGTAAACATCTATTTTCATACAAAGTGTGTGTGAATTGCAGGAATTCAGTGGCCGTGTGTAATCGGTCGGCGAGATAATTGCGGTGTAATTTATGAGGCCCTTAACAGCTGGGAGGTGGCTGTTTTACAAATGTTAGCAATTAATATTGACTGTTTATAAAGATTTTAGTCAAGAAATACAAACAAGTATGTGTTACTTTGCTCATACGTTACTCTTTCTTACAGGTCATGGTAACTTTAAGAAAAAACTGTATTAATTTAAATTAGTCAAGTCACCATTGTGTCAATGCTCAACACCTAACTCTAACTGTGAACAGTTTTCTCATTATATCCTCTGGGAATGTAGTATTTGGTATAATGAACGTAATATAATGCTGAATAGCTTACAGGTGACATCTGGGGCGGTATACTATGGGGATCTTGTGTCAACTAGGGTGAATTTCCGTGCGTTGAGGCGATTCTGCCATACATATTACAGAAATCAAAAATAGCTCACACTGTTTAAAAGAGTGTATGTCTATTTTACTTCATTTTGTCTCCCTATTTGCTAAGGAGTGTCCAACAGTGGACTAGTAAAGGCTGTGGATGATGTGTATAATCGACACGAGATGATATAGCCTCTAATATCTAACTTAGTTCTGACGGATTACTCATTACCTTTCCTAACACGTTACGTACTATTACAATAGCCGGCCACGCAGCACGGTTACTGACGGAAGGAAAAGGCTCGGTTTCGTAACTCGAACTTGAAGGTTGGCTGTGAGGTCGTGATCATAATCGGGGATGTTCAATTGGCTAAAATGTTACTAGTAATTATGCCTGTTCGTGTGATTATTACTCACCGTGGTGTAGGTCAGGTTGCGTAATGTTACGGTCGATAGGTATCATCGTTCGGGATCAGAGTTGTTGCCACTATTTTTGTATTCTTTACAAAATATAAGTCATACAACGTATTGGCAAAATAGAAATTTGCATTTAACGTACTATTATGGTTCGTTCTTTACATTTGTATATTAATCAATTTTTATTTTAAGGCAATTTAGTCAATTGAGCTTTTCGTAATACTCAAGTAACGAAATTAGTTTTGATTTATTATTTTACACAATTCTCGTAATAAGCTTTCGTGCTAAATTCAGTTACGATCTGTTATACTTTTTGCCCCCGCACAACCACATGGAACGGGTTATCGTCTACGGTATTTCCGGACCTATAAGACCTTCACCTTCAAGAAAAGAGCGTACTCC